TCTAACAGCAAAACCGGACCATGGACTGGTTCCCCTGGGCTACTTCCTACTATGGTCTGGGCAAGGGGTAGTCCAGGGGTCCTTTGTCTTCTTGGGGTATACAGTAAGCGGCAGTCCTGGCAACTCTTCCCCAGGGTCAGTCTCCTGTAGGGGCAGGGCATGGCAGGAGAAGTGGGCCTGGCCAGGCTCCACCCACCAAGGATCAGAGAGTGGCTCCTCCCCCTCTGGCTCAATGAGTGGCCACTCTGCCTCACCATAGTCCTAATGACATTTTTATGTACAAAAAATTCAGGCTCATGGGCCCCATCTCTGTGTCTGAGGAGGACGATGAGACATGCCCATCAGAGAGCTCTCAGTGCCAGGGACAGGGATGCTGTGAGCTCACACTGGGTGCAAGGAATGTTTTGCACATGGAGATGCAGTTGACCAATCCCTGATGCCGGGGACCATCTCAGTCTGTGCAGTGATTTAAAGGGGAGTTATCACCTGGGAAGAGTTAGCTCTGGGCCTGACTGCTCATTTTCCTGTCAATGGGGGATTCCCCCTCTTCGCCAGGGCCAGCTCCAGGCACCAGCTAAGGAAGCAGGTGCTTGGGGCGGCCAATACAAAGGGGCGGCATTCCGTCCGTTATTGGGGTGGCATGTCCGGATCGTCGGCGGTAATTCAGTGGCGGGTCCCTCTCTTCCTCTTTGAGCTGCTGCCGAAGTGCTGCCGAAGAGGAAGAGAGGGAGTGAAGGACTCGCCACCGAACTGCTGCCGAAGTTCCGCCGATTGGCTTTTTTTTTTGCCACTTGGGACGGCAGAAAACCTGGAGTCGGCCCTGTTCCTTGCCCCTGAGCTGGTCCCAGAATAATGCCTCACCTCACCCCAATGGATTCAGGACAGACAAGCAGACCAACTGACAACACCGGATTAATTTTGATTAAAGAACAAAAAAGTTTATTTAACTATAAAGAGATAGGTTTTAAGTGAGTACAAGTATTAAAGTCAGAAATCGTTAGAAGAAAAATAAAAATAAAATGCTTTGTAGTACTAAATCTTTACAAAGTAGGTTTGGTTTAAGGTAAAATTTGTACTACATGCTTCCAGCTGCCTTACTGACCAATCTTCAGGTTAGGATTCCTCCCAAAGTTAAAGAGCTGAATTCTTTTGTCTTCTCAGGTGGAAAAGAGAGAGAAGGTCAGGGAGAGATAACTTGGAGTGGTTTTGCCCCTCACTTTTATACTTCAGTCACCCTTTGAAATGCATTTCCCTGAGAATGACCCCTACATAAAGTTCTTTGCAGCTGAAAGAAAGGAGACATGGAGTTTCATGAGGGGGACATTTTACGCTATCGTTTGTCCAGATCAGATCTGTTTGTTCCTACCCCTATCCTTGCCAAAGAATGGCCACTTGGTAGGTGATGGACCATCACTTTTGATGGCACCTGGCTGGGACATCAGCTTGCTCTTTGTCTTTAAAAGATAGGTTTGCCCACTTCCCAGACTTGTCCGGTAAACACATGATTCCAGCTTATGTTCATAACTTTACATATAACATTGCTACATACATACATTTTACCAAGATGTTATTGATCAGCAAGATATTAGATTTTAAATGATAGCTTACAAGGCATATATTATACAAAGGTAATTTCAGTAGTGTTTAGGGTGTGAATACAGGAGTGCTTTCAGTCACACCAATTAAACCCCACCCTGCCATAGACTGTGGGGATTAAATTACCCCCAGTTCAGGCATGCCGGGGCTGCTGAGCCCTCCCCCGACACTGTGGGGGCAGGGGAGGGGTCTGGCCAAGTGCCATAACTGCCGCTTTGGAAGGTCCCATTCTCATGGGGGGGAATCTCTCACCAAACCCTCAAATCTATCGATTTTTTTTAAAATCAAGTTGGGATGTTTTCCTAAAAGCTCTGCTCTAGGAATGATTTTGGGGCTGTTCTCTGGCCTGTGTTACACAGGAGGTCAGACTAGGTGGTCACACTGGTCCCTTCTCGCCTTGGAATCTATGAATCTGTGCATTTAAAAATGTGGAAAAGAAAAATTAAGCAGGTCAATTTTGAGCCTTTGGCATTTTATCCCCCTCTTCTCTCCACCCACCACTGAAATGGTTCATTGACATGTTAGTGTCTTGCTTTGCTCTGAATGGAACCATCTTGCTGCTGGTGGTGCAGATGTTAATAAAGTATCTGGGGGGCCCATTTTATTTTTATTTTTGTTGCCCTGTCAGGAATTTTAAAAGAAAACCCCCTCCCCTTGTATTAGTGACTCCTTTTCAATATGGAAGTTAAAATTCCTATGTCTGGGGATAATTTTCCATCCTCCCTCTCAGGGTAAGAATGGGCCTTCCCCAGCCTCCAGTGGCAGTTAGTTGTTTCCCTTCCACTTAAACAAAGCTCTATATTAGGGGTGAGGGTGAAATGGGACCTTCCAAAGAGGAAGTTAGAAATAAACACAGTCTTATATTGCATGGAATGGGGGGTTAGCATGAATGGCCCCAACATGAAGTAGACTCAGGTGTCCCCGGCTAATAGATATTTGTACCACAGGAGTGGGGCTTTCTCAGGGTCAGTGCCTGAGAACCCGCTTTCTTCCCCCCAAAATGCTCCTTCTACAAAGGCAGAACAAGAACCGATGGTTGGAAGCTGAAGAAAGCTGAATTCAGATTAGAAATAAGGTACCAGTTTTCCACTGTGAGAGTGATTAACCATTAGGACAAACTCCCAAGGGAAGTGGTGGATTCTCCAGCTCCTGGTGTCTTCAAAACCTGTTGGGACACTGTTATGGAAGATGCTTTAGCCAAATACAAGATATTGTGCTCAATACAAGAGTAACTAGGTGAAATTTAATGGCCTGTCTTACACAGGGGTCAGACTTAGGGCTTGTCTACACTACCGCGCGGGGTTGATCTAAGATACGCAACTTCAGCAATGTGAATAGCGTAGCTGAAGTCGATGTACTTAGATCTACTTACCGTGGTGTCTTCACTGCGGTAAGTTGACAGCTGACATTCTCCCGTTGACTTCGCTTGCGCTCCTCATTCTGGTGGAGTACCGGAGTCGATGGGAAAGCACTCAGCGGTCGATTTATCACGTCTATAATAGACACGATAAATCAACCCCCGCTGGATCGATTGCTGCCTGCTGATCTAGTGGGTAGTGTAGACAAGCCCTAGATGATCTACTGATCCTTTCTGGCCTTAAAATATATGAATGTCTGAAGCCCTTTTCCTATCCTTCTGCACATACACCTTCCTCAATGTTCCCCTTCCACATGGATGTTTAATAATTAGCAACTTTTTTTTGCTTATTTTACAATTTCAGAGTCAAAGTGAACAAGTGCAACAGATATATCAATTGAGTAAATGTCATTTCACTAGTGGTGAACCATGCATCTTACTAATTACACTGGAGGTTAAGTCCAATCACAGAAAAATTCTAAAATGTGACCCTCAGCTATTTCCATCAGAGATTTCTGTGTATGGTGGCAAGTAAGTTGACAGAAAACAAAATGCATTTGGGGTATTATATTAAAGTACTGTACAGTATTGCATCTTTTCAGATACATTCTATGGCTGTTCAAAGAAAGAAATGTTCCTAGGCCAGATAAATCCTTCGTCTGCCCTCTCTTTAGCCCTTTTCAGTGTTACTTGTATATAATATTCATATTTAAAATAATGTTCCAAATGTTGATTAGTTCAGTAGAGAACATCAAAGTTATCTAAATAAGCATTAGCACTTATTAAAGCAAAGGTGCTGACATTATATGTACAAACTGTTAGGATGACATAGAACACTGGGAACCATTTTATATGTTTCCAAACGGAGAGATGGAATTCTGGAATTTAAAAGGAAAGGAAGTGGAGAGATATTCCAGCACAGATGAAGAATTCTCCAAGTAACTTGAAAAGTATACCAAGAGCCACACTACTACTGTGCAACTCACAGCAACATTAAAGAAGGGTTTAACTAGTAGTGTAGTGTGTTTGGGAATACGGGAGTATCCTTGTAAGTTGTTTGAGAGTCCTCTAATGATGCTCACTGTGATCTGTGTTTTAGAAGCCATCAGAAATCAGTCTGAGCATAGTCTGCATTCAGCTCGTTCTTGTGTGTTTCTATATCTATAATAAACATGATTATTTGGTGGCCAGGTGTGCCTGATAGTTTCTTCATATATTTTTTGTTGTGCACCAAGCAAAATATACACACTAATTATAACAATTTTTCCTAATTATAACACAATACAAAAGTTCCTTAGCCATTGCTCTTGTTCTTAATTTGTCTGATTTATTAATTTATTATCCAAAAAGCAAGCAGTGTTAGTCCCATAGACTTCTTAATTTGTAACTGTCCATATAATTTATGTGAAAACATTACCTCTGGATCTGCAACAATTTGATTTGACTATTGCTCTTGGTTAATTATTTTGTGCATGTGCTATAGCTACTGTCAGATGAGACACAAAACAGAAACAGGGGTGTAATATTTGGCAGAGAGTAGCCCAGACAGGGAATTTCAGCTCTGGGAATGGCATATTCTTGTCTCACCACAATGGCACTCTGGGCGCTCCCAGAAATATTTTGTCACTTTCAGCCACTCCAATTCCAGATTTGAATATTGCATTATTAAATAATGTATAATTATGTATATACATTGTTATGAACTAGTGGGTTATAGCCCACGAAAGCGTATGCCCAAATAAATTTGTTAGTCTCTAAGGTGTCACAGGACTCCTTGTTTTTGTTATGAAATTCAATCAGATTTCTTATGGTAAAATGTTTGAAAAGGCATCGCACACTGATGAATTACTACAAAATGCTCTTTTGAATAAAGAATGGGAACCATCAACAGGGAACCGATTTCACTTCGTGTTCACTGCTGGCTGGGCCAGTAACAAAGCTTCCCCGACCGAGATGCTTAAGGGTTAAACCCACAGAGCTCCGAGTCCTCCCCAGCCTAGACACGTCCAGTAATTGCTGCGAGACCTTCCAGTGCCTCAGTCTTGAGCCCGTCCCGAGCTGCGCGTGCGGAACGAGCCCCCTCTGCAGGCTGCAGCCCCAGCGCCCGGCGCGGTGAGCGGGGCCCGGGGCGGGAGGGAAATCGCCGCCTGGGGAGGGAGCTGCTGGGGGCGGAGAGACCCCCCCAGGGGCCGGTTTGTGCAGCGGAGCCCGGCAGGGTCCGCGCCCCAGCCCGCGAGAGCCCGACCGACCCTCTCCTCGCTCCTGGGGGCGGGCGGGCCCCTTCCCCGGGGCGGTGCTCCGGGGGCTGCCGGGTTCTTCCCCCTTCCCGCAGAGCAGGCACCGGCCGGGGCTGGAGGCGGGGCTGGGGGGGCAGGTCCTGGCTGACAGCTCCTCTGGCCTGTGCTCCTGGGGCTGTGAGCAGCCTGCTCGGGAGACCGGGGTCGGGGCCAGGCTGGGGCCGCTGCACACACTGGCAATGGGTGGCGCTGCGGGAGGCTGAACAGAGTCCCTGGCTACCGCGGGGCGGGGGAGGGAGGTTCCTTGTCTGACTGCCCCATCGGCCGGCGTGTTGGGGATCCAACCAGAGCCCTCCGGAGCTAAAAGCCTGGGCTGCTACTGCTTGAGCTACAGCTCTCTGGCTGGGGCTCCCAGGGTCTGTGTAGGGGACAACTAAAACCTGCAGCTGGGCTGTTCCAGCTGATGGGGCTAACCCTAAAGGCAGTTTAATTGCGGTGCAGACGTTTGGGCTTCTGGTGGAGTCTGGGCTTTAGGACTCTGCTCTATGTAGCTCTTGGTCCAGTAAGAGATATATTACCTCCCCTATCTTGTCTCTCTAATATCCTGGGACCAACACGGCTACAACAATGTAACCCTAATTCCTGCCTAATAAAGAGGGCAAGCCCAGGGAGGGAGCGAATGGAGAGTGAACCAACCCTGTACTCACCTCACAATGCTACTCCAGTGCCCCACATTCACCCCGTAGAAGTGGCTCCAGCAGGGTCCATTGGGGCTGGCTGGGCCCAGTGCCCTGCTCTGGACATTGCATCATGGCTGGAGGGGCTGCAGTGCTACTCAGGTTTGGTCTGCCCAGCCCTCCGGCATGGTGACACAGGGTCAGGAGTGCTGGCTAAATGTGAGTGGGACTGTGACCTGGTGCTCCAGGTTGCTGCGACACTAACTGAAGTTTGGCCTGCCTGTCCCATCATGACAGAGGGTCAGGAGGATGACGCTGCAGAAGTGGTGCTACTCTTTGTGCCAGGATACAACACCACAGCAGGGGGCCAGGCTCAGCTCCTGAGCTACCACTGTGGGGTGAATCACAGACACAGAAAACACTGGCCATTACTTTTTTTACACGGCGCAAACCCACACCCATAATAATGGTACAAACTTTCAAACCTCCCAGTTCCGTGGACCACTGTACATCTGCCTCACCTGCAATAACTATTCCTTTATCATTGTGTAAACTTTGCCATGCTGAGTTGGGTTGTTTGTCCTTTCAGATGTCGGTGACGTTTGAGGATGTGGCCATGTATTTCTCCCCAGCAGAATGGGTGCTGCTGGGCGAGGAGCAAAAGCAACTTTACAGACACGTCATGTGGGAAAATTACCAGACTCTGGTCTCATTAGGTGAGGAGCCGTGTCTGTGAGATCAGGGCCCCAGTGCACTGGGTGCTTCACGGAGACACAGAAAGGTGTTTATGGGGTTTGAAGGAGGGGTGCATGGGTGTGGATGGATAGAGGCATGTTTCATTGAGCAGAGCAGCTAGTTCATGGGGAGACAAGGTGGGTGAGGTAATATCTTTCATTGGTCCAACTTCTGTTGGTGAGAGAGACAAGCTTTTGAGCCACTCAGAGCTCTTCTTCAGGTCTGGGAAAGGAAAGCTTCTCTCTCTCACCAACAGAAGTTGGTCCAGTAAAAGATATTACTTCACTCACCTGGTCTCTCTAATATCCTGGGACTGATACGTCTATAACTACACTTCATATCTTCAAAAGGAGATCCTTCCACCCATAGTCACTACTGCTCCACAGTTTAATGCAAGAGAATCCTGGCTCTTGTAGTTCCCCAGACAGAGCACATGAGCAGAAAAGGGTCATGTGTTCTGCAGGTCTACAGGATGAGAGGCCAGCCAACACCACAGTTAAGGAGAAAGACAGACTGGGTTCATCTATGCTGGTATAAAAGACCCCCGGCATGGTTATGGGTGGCCTGGGTCAGTTGACTCATGACATAGAGCTCAGGCTGCGGGGCTAAAGATTGCAGTGTAGATATTCATGCTGGGGTTGGAGCCTGGGCTCTGGGACCCTCCCTCCAAATAGCCACTCAGCAATTTTGCAGTCCTGCAGCCCAAGCCCAAGTCATCTGACCCAGACCAGCTACAGGTGTTTTATTCCTATGTAAACATATCCACAGGAGAGAGGGGGTGCTGGGTAACTGAGTAACTCTCCTAGGCCAAGGAGAAATAGCCAGCATTTGCCCCATCTGTTCCCCTCAATCCCTTTAGACACCGCAGTCCTCTCCATCTGCACTTTCCACGGGTGCCAGGTTGTTTGCTACTCAATATCCCGCCACTGCCGGGCACCAGGAGTGTTGACCATAAGTTGCAGTACATGTTTCCATAGAAAAAAATTGCCTATTAGCCTTCACATTTAGCTCATTGCCTAATTAACAAACATTGCTTATGGAGCTGTGCAAAGTGCAAGAATTCTGTGGGTAGAAGTGCTCAGCTTAGATCTAATGGGTGGTGATGCTTTTCTCTAAGCAGGAATCCAAGCCCCCAAGCCAGTGGTGATCTCCAGCATAGAGCGAGGAGAAAATCTGTGTGGGCCGGGTCCTATAGAAGATGAAGATGGGGACATCCTGAGAGGAACCCACCCAGGTGAGGAAGGAGTTAAACTGATGTGCAGGGATTGAAGGAAGGCAGCTGGAATCCTGATAGATTGTGGCCAAAGTGACAATACTTCCCAGAATGTTAGTCTTTAAGGGTACGTCTACACCCAGCCGCTAGTTTGGCGGCTGTGGATCGAAGTTCCGGGATCGAAGTCTGGTCTGGACGCGATAAATCGAACCAGGAAGTGCTCGCCGTCTACTGCGGTACTCCAGCTCAACGAGAGGAGTACCGCGGAGTCGACGGGGGAGCCTGCCTGCTGCGTGTGGACCGCGTCTGAACCGCGGTAAGTTCGAACTAAGGTATGTCGACTTCAGCTACGTTATTCACGTAGCTGAAGTTGCGTACCTTAGTTCGAATTGGGGGGTAAGTGTAGACCAGGCCTTAGTGTATTGTTGTTAGGCTTTTTTAGAACAGTATCACATTGTCGGCTCTCATTCAATTCATGATCCACTATAACCACCACATTCTTTTCTGTTGCACCTCCGCCAAGCCAGTTATCCCCCATTTTCTGTTGTACATTTCATTTTCCTTTCTAGGTGAACTAATTTTAACTTGTTTTTCTTGAATTTCACCTTGTTGATTTCAGACCAGTTCTCCAGTTTGTCAAGATCATTTAGAATTCTAATCCTGTCCACCAAAGTGTTTGTAATCCTTAGCTGGCTGTCTGAGTTATTGGCTGAACAGCACTTGGGAATCTCCCTTCCAAGTTCAGGCCCAGTTTTGTAGGGACCCAACATCGTTCCATCGCATTTTTGTGCTCTCAGTTGACATTAATAAGAGATTTCCTTATTATTCTCCAGGACTGGTTGGGAGGCAACATCATATTGTGGGACTGAGGAGACCTGGACTGTATTCCTCATTCTGCCAATGAGCTGCTGGCAGATCTTGGACAATATTGTATTAATTCATATAGACTATATGGGCCCAAAGAGACAAAGGTGTTAACATGACACTGTTATGGCCAACATTCAAGAGTGTTAAATAAGGTTTGGGGTTTGGAATACAGAGAGAGTAGCCTGCTCTATGCCATGGAAACACCATGACAAATTCTTTCTAATCTTTTATTAAATATACAGAAAAAGAAGGAAAAAGAGTTGTCATTGTAGGTATTATGTAAGACTTTTATTTTGACAGTGTCCCTTGTTGCCTTTCCCTTTAGCTGAAGAGAGTCTTTAGACAAAAGGCCTCTGTTTGAAAGTCTTTTAGATGGTATTAAAGATGGTAATAACTGTCCTTTTGGGGAAAAGAGAAGCAGTTAGTTGAAATGGACTGGAGCTGTTGTTGATATTATTAAAATCCGATCCCGTTTCCTAGGAGACAAAACAGAACGAACCCACACAAGAGGGAAGAGAAAAGAATAGCAAAGATAGAACATGCGGCTTCTGTCTCGGGTTTACTCTTACTTGCTGCTTCACTGCTGGAGAAACACAGGCATGGCACATGGTCTGATCAGCCAATTGGAGACCTGCCTGGGAAACCTGTAACAGTGTTGGTCTGTTCTGGACAATGCGTTTGCCTGCCTCTTTGATCACAGGCTTACAGCAATGTTGCAAACTATGGCAGTTTTGGCCAGCCAGGGCCGGCTCCAGGCACCAGCTTCTCAAGCAGGTGCTTGGGGCGGTGGTTCCGGACAGGGGCGGCAGTTCCAGGTATTCGGCGGCAATTCGGCGGACGGTCCCTCACTGCGCCTGGGAGTGAAGGACCTCCCGCCGAATTGCCGCAGCAGATCGTGAGCGCGGCTTTGTTGGGGTGGGGAGCGTTGTTTTTTTTTTTTTTGGTTTTGGCTGCTTGGGGCGGCCAAAACCCTGGAGCCGGCCCTGTGGCCAGCTAAGCCAGATTCTTATTTACTAGAAGGCAAAGGGAGAAGAGTAAGAAAGAGAAGAAATATGTGGGGAATGAAAAGAATTCATGGGAGTTAAGAGGGACAGGGGGACAAAAATCTCACATTCCAGGTGATTTTGGGGAGTTAGCCAGAACTGGTAACGGTGGCAATATCCTCTGGCTCCCTCTCTCTGGTTCAGTCTTGTTAGGAGATCTCTTAGGATAAGGATGAAGAAGATCTGGGATCCCAAAAGAAGTTCAGGGTGGCAGCATGATGGTATCGCTCACCACAGCAGTTGTTGGCACACACCTGCTGTTGCTGTTTTTTCAGTCAGCAAGGGATGCATTCAGTTCCGCTCCTTTATTTTCCCCCGAAAGTGTTTTCTTTTGAGAAACCCTTAAAGGAAGTAATGGGCAAACTAGCCCATCCCCTCATTCTTTTTCTGCCAGTTAGGCTTAAATTCTATCATTTTGGTTCATTAATGTCCATTTCCATACTTCTCTTGTTTACAGCCATCATTTTATCACTGTCCTTGAATTGCATTATAAGCCTCTTTTGTTTGGACCAATTCCATTGTCTTGTTTATATTTTGCACTTTTTCCCATCAGCATTTAGTGTTGTAGGATATTGTAACACTTTATAAACTTTCTCACAGTTTTTACAATTAAACTGCCAATTAGGGTAAATTTGTGGGCCCAATTATTAGAACAGCAAGTTACTCCTTTGTCTCAGGTTTCTCCCCCCTTTATCTATTTGGTATATAAGCTCTTCAACATCAGGGTGATCTCTCTGTGTAGCACTTGGTGCTATGAAACCACAAGCTCAGTTGTGCTACTACAATACAAAGTAACAGTCAAGCCCCAAATAGCTTTCCCTCTTGTGTGTTGTGGAACTAGGGTGACCAGATAGCAAGTGTAAAAAAAAAAAAAATCGGGACTGGGGGTGGAAGACAATAGGTGCCTGTATAAGAAAAAGCCCCCAAAATCAGGACTGTCCCTATAAAATCGGGCCATCTGGTCACCCTATGTGGAACCCACTGTCCAACAGTGATTATAAATGAGTACTTTACAGTGCAGGAGAAAGGGCTTCTCTCGGTGATGTTCGTTTAGTCCATATAATGTCAATTAATGGCCTTTTGTCTTGGTGCAGATTTTCCAGATGCAGAGGAGACCTGGGACTGGTCAGCAATTGAAAGCTCCTTGGGCTTCTTCCTCACACAAAGCTCTTTCCCTGGAGCAGGTAGGGAACCTGTCCTCTCCAGCAGTGGAAGCCGGAGAGCTCATTTCAGGAATCGTCCATCAGCTGCAAACTCTCCCCTCACAGAGCATTACAATAGGGATTGAAGCCCAAACACAAGAAGTGATACAGCTCCTCACCCTGACATCCCCCTAGAAACCCCATCTCTCCCCTTACGCAGATTCCCCCAGTCTCTCCCCCTCTCCCATTTTCCATAGAACATGGAGACGTTGGGATCCATCACAGTGTGAGTGTTCCGTGTGTGTCCCTTGGGAGAGGGGTGTCACTGCTGGTGTGTGGTGATGCTGTTGTCCCCAGTGAGACAGGCCTCAGAGTAGGGAGAGAATTGTGGGGGCTGATTTTCACGTTTGCTTGGGGGGCTATTATCAGGGCGTATGAGACGCTGATCTTCTCCTCCTTCCCCAGCGCTGGGGTCTCTGGGAGATTGCCCTCTTGCGCTCAACTGCCAATGGCTAGCCCTGCTTGAGGGGAGAGGCATGGGGCTCCCTTAGGCACATCCTCCTGCTGGGAATGTTAGTGGTTTCCATTTCTGAGCAGCACAAGAAATAACATCTGAATTCTCTTGCCCACCAAGCAGGGGCAAGGAACCTGAGCAGGGCTGAGGGGCAGACTCCTGAGGAAGATTCTGGCAACCTGGAGTCACCCAGCCCTTTCCCAGGAACATCAGTGGAGAGCCATTCCCAGAAAACTGAGCGGGGAAGGCACCGCAAGAGGCAGTGCAGGCTCCAAAGGCAGAGGAAGCACCTGACTAGAAAGGAGTCAGGAACCCGAAGAGGCCATCAGAGGAGATCCAGGCCACATCTAAAGCCTCCTGCAGAGGGAAAAGCTGAGCCCAGAAAGACCCTATATACCTGCCGTGTGTGCAGGGAAGAATTCAAGGTGCAGAGAGAACTGATAAGCCACCACTGGACGGTTCATAGGAGACACAAACTGTATCACTGTAGCGAGTGTGGGGAGAGCTTTAGGAGAAAGAAAGATTTCAGGGCACATGGGAAAGCTCACAGAAAGAAGAGAGACCATCCCTGTTCTGAATGTGGGAAGATATTCAACCGGTTATCGCATCTCATTGCCCACCAGAGAATACATACGGGAGAGAGACCCTATTGCTGTGCTGAGTGCGGAAAAAGATTCGTCCATATATCAGCTCTTAACAGCCACAAGAGAGTCCACTCAGGAGAGAGACCCTATGCCTGCGCTGAGTGTGGAAAGCGATTTATGAATTCTTCAGCATTTCGTAATCATCAGGCAATCCACTCAGAAAAGAGACCCCATCGCTGTAACCAATGTGGGAAAGGCTTCAAAGTTGCTTCAGGTCTTACTAGACACCTGAAAATCCACAGCGAAGAGAGACCCTTCTTGTGCCACGAGTGTGGGAAAAAATTTTGCCTACGAGAACATCTCATTAGACATCAGATGATCCACACTGGGGAGCAGCCCCATTGCTGTGCTGAGTGTGGGAAAAAATTCAGTCTCCTTCAAAGTCTCAGGAGACACTGGGAAATCCATAGCACGGAGAGACTCCATCGCTGTGCTGAGTGTGGGAAAATATTCGGTCATCCAAACAGTCTCACTAGACACAAGAGAGTACACACTGGGGAACTCTATCGCTGCACTGACTGTGGAAAAGGCTTTGTCCGTCTACAACATCTCACTCGCCACCAGAGAATCCACACTGGAGAGAAACCCTATTGCTGCACTGAGTGTGGGAAAAGTTTCACCCAATTGTCAGGCCTTATTAACCACCAGAGAATCCATTCAGGAGAGCGACCCTATCCCTGCACACAGTGTGGGAAGTGCTTTGCTCACTCATCATCTCTCACTGAACATCTGAAAATCCATTCAGGAGAGCGACCATATTCCTGCATACCTTGTGGGAAGCACTTTGCTCGCTCATCATCTCTTACTCAGCATCGAAGAACCCACCCAGGAGAGCAACCATATTCCTGCGCTCAATGTGGGAAGCGCTTTGCTCGCTCATCATATCTTACTAAACACCAGAGCACCCACTCAGAATAGAGACGCCTGACCCTTGTTTTTGATGGAGGGAACTTCTTCAATCTCTCACTTCACCTTGTTCCCAAAGCCTGTAAAAGAGGGAGAACTTGCTCCCACTCTGAAATGTTCCCACCTCTTCACTAAGTAGACACAAGCTTAGGTGCTGGGTTTGTTAAAATTATTTTGTGTAGTCCTGGAGATGGAAGCATTTAACCCTAGAGGTACCGAAACATTCCATTGTGGGCATTATGGGCTGCAGCTGGGACAGAGATGATTGGTGTCAGGACTGCACTTTGGAGTCCACAAATCAATCAAACAGCCACAAAACAAATTGATCAGCAGTACCAGGCCAGTGTCTCCCTGTTCCTCAAGTGGGGAAATCCGTGGCTGTGCCTGTCTGTCGGAGGGCGATGATGAGATGCGACTTTATGTCACTGTTGTCTCATCGTTCTTGGAGGGAATAAAATAATACAAGAGAATGATGAGTCTGAAATGGCTGCGCTGCCGTGTGTGTAGGTGAAGACCTGCAATTTTCCCTGCAGTGCTGACTTTATCCATGACAACCTGCTCCAAAAAGAACGGCAATGCCAGCTGCATTTCAGTTCAGTTGTAATATTCTCTAAACTGTTATTCCCACTCTAGAAATGGGGGTGTTAGGCTTTGAACTAGTAAAAATCTCCCAGAATACTCTGTGCTCATGCTAAGCTTTATTGTGCTAATTTACTAGTAGTTCAATTGTTCTAACCTTTGTTCATTGTATATGCGACATCTGTCAGACGCAAGATGTATGCTCTCTTAAGGTTTGCCAGATATGAACTGTGTGCTAGGTACAGTTAGTGCAAATGTGTCCTTGATCTAATGCTACTTGTGTGCTATGGTCTATTGCCAGCTAAACGGCAGTGTGCATAATTAGATAAGAAAAGGTATGTACGGTCTGTGGAATTTGGAATTTTCTGTCTCCTAAATGAGGAGAATACAAATATCAGCTAAACTGTGCTCATAGTTTGAAACAGAGTGAAGATGTAACTGCTGCAAGACAGGTTTCAGAGAGTTGCTGTGTTAGTCTGTATCAGCTAATACAGACAGGGTGGATGTGGCCCATTCCCAACAGTTGACAAGAAGGCATGAATATCAGCAGAGGAAAAAAAAAATTTATTGTAGTGCTAACGAGGCCAATTCAGTCAGGGTGCCAGCAATGCCCCTCTGCCATGTACATTGACCAAACCAGACAGTCTCTGCGAAAAAGAATAAATGGACACAAATCATACCTTCTTATCAACTGTTGAGAATGGGCCACATCCACCCTGATTGGATTGGCCTCATTAGCACTGATCCCCCACTTGGTAAAGCAACTCCCATCTTTTCATGTGCTGTCTATACCTGCCTACTGTATCTTTCACTCCACGCATCTGATGAAGCGGGTCATAGCCCACGAAAGCTTATGCCCAAATAAATTTGTTAGTCTCTAAAGTGCCACAAGGCCTCCTCTTTTTCCCCCCTGAAAGACAGTTCTCTAGATTAGCCATTTTTCCTGTTCTTAATTTGTCTAAGAACCAAGAAAGGTTAGTCATGGAGATTTCTTGAATTGTAACTGTCCATATAATTTATGTGAAAACATTACCTCTGGATCTGCAACAATTTGGTTGACTATTGCTTTTGGTTGATTTTTTCCCCCATGCATGTGGTATGGCTACTGTCAAATTCAATACAAAATAGAAACAGGGGTATGATATTTGGCAGAATGTAGCCCAGACACGCAGTGTCAGCTCTGGGAATGGCATATTCTTGTCTCGCCACAGTGGCACTTAGGCTGCCCCAAGAAGTATTTTATCACTTACAGCCACTCTCAACCCAGATCCAGGTTTGAATAATTATTAAATAATGTATGTATTTACTAATATACACTGTTATGAACCTCAGTCACATTTCTTGTGGTAAAATGTTTGAAAAGGCGTCTCTCACTCTGATGAATTACTAAGAAATGTTCTTTGAACGGGGGGGGCTGGAACTCAGGGTGCTGGGGGGGCAGATGCAGCAGCACCC